TCTGGTAGCGTAGTGGTTACGAATCAGGCTGCGAACCACAAGGTCAGCAGTTCGAAACTACCAGCTGTTCCGCGGGAGAAAGATGAGGCTTTCTGTTCTCATAAAGATTTACAGCCTCGGAAACCCGGTTCAGGGTCGCTATGGGTCGGAACCGACTCGAAGGCACTTAACAACAACAACAACATGCTCACCCATGTTGACCCCACGTGTTCCTGGCTCCTGCTGAGCATGGTGGGGAGCCAGCTGCAGGTCTGGGCGCATGCACTCCCTTCCTCCTTTTCTTCCTTGCACACCTTCTCCACAGCTGGAGGCTCCCCAGGTGTGGGTGCCTTGAGTTCATAGGGTTCTGGCAGCTGTGGTTTCTTTTGTTTCAGCACCTTATCCTCGAATGGCCGACTCCCACTCCCATCAGTTCTGGACCCTTGGGTGGACATTCTCCTATCTGGCCCAGAGCAGGCCCCGTTTTCTCCTTCCTCAAGGCAAACCAAGGGGACGTTTGGTGGAATGCTGATCCGGCATCTTGGCCACTGTGTGGGCCAGTGATCCAGAGAGAAGTCTCGTGCAACCAGGGAGGGTGTGTGGGGGTGAAGGACTTGTTTCCATGGTTGCTGGACATATGGCCAATGTGAGGCTATCATCAGGAGAGGGGGTGGGAGGGAGCACCACATAGTGGCAGGGAGTCCTGGGCCCCCATAGTGGGCATCTAGTACCTAGGCCAGGCCTCCAAGGGGTGGGATCATGAAGGACCAGAGATGGCGGGCTCAGGTTGGGGCTTTGAGGAGGACCCTGAAGAAACCCTGGTCTTTGACCATGCCTGCCTCTGCCTATCTCTTGGTGCCAGGCACAGTGAAGCATGGCATAGGCAGGATTGAGGCTCCCTGCATGAACATACCTGTGCCTGCCTCTCCTCTGCTTGTATCCACCTGTGTTTTCCTCTGCTCACCTCTGTCCCCTTCTCTCCTCAGCCCCACATCTGCCTACCTTTCCCTACCACCCTCCCTGCTCAATTCTCCCTACTCTGCCCATTTCTTCCCACTCTGTCCCTCTCCCTATCTCCATCCTCACATCTGCCCCAATTTCCTTTCTCACACTGGCCCACCTCCACCATTCCTCCTCTACTCCCACCTGTGCCCTTATCTGTGTCCACCTTTGCTTTGACCGAGGCTTCTCTGAGCCTTGGTTTCCTCATCAATCAAGGGGAACAGTAGGGTGGTGGGCACAGGCCCAGGCCTGGGGAAGGTCAGGGGGCTGGCAGATGGGTCAAGGGTCTGGTGGCTCTGGGCTCATCTGTGACGTTGGCCTGCAACTATCAGGGAGTTCCTGGGGGTCTATGGTGCTTCTTCTCTGGCCCATGGCTCCCCAATCCTGGGGGCTTGCTGGGACTTGTGAGTTTCCCTTCCCTCAGATATGGGTGTTGTCTGTGAGCGCCAGGACTAGGCCTGGCCTGCCTCAGTCCCACCACTGTGTGGTGAGGGAAGATGCCATGGCCCCCATGCTGAGATATGGGTGGGTTAGCAGCCCCATAAGGGAGTGAAGGGTGTGGGGTCTTCAGACAGAACTCAGTTATTCATTGACCACACACTGACTAACCACGCTAATAACTCCTCTGCAGGGGCCCGAGGGTGAACTGGGGGCAGCTGAAAGACCCTAGCCATGGCTGAGGGGGTCATTGGGTCCCCATCCCCTGCACCCCTCACCACATATTGTGTGTCTCTGCCCATCTGCATCTCCCACCACACCGGCATCAGAGCTAATGGTGCCTCCTCCCTTGGGAGCCCTGAGGCACAGGGATGAAGAGTGTCCTGACTTCAGCAGGGTGAGGAAACAGTCCAGTTCTTCCTGGACGGTGGCTGGCTGTGTAGATTTGAAAAATGTCCGCAGCTGTCCTTGAGTTCTTCTTCTACAAATGGTTGGAATGGCAAATGTTTTGTTATATGCATTTCACCACAGTGAAAAAAACAAACAAAACAAAAAGAAGACGAAGGCCTGCAGCCCTCAAGTGGGTTCTGGGTTAGTGACCCCCTCTAATGAATGTGGTGTAGGGACAGTAGCTTCTGAGACTGGGTCATAGGAGGCCTAGGCTTCCTCATGGCTCTCTGGGGAGCTCAAGCAGCCTGTGGACAGCCCACTGTGTAAAGTACAGAGGACTCCAGCCAAAACCTCCTATGCGAGTGAACATCTTGGGCTCTCTAACCCCACTCCAGCCCTCAGAAGACCACAGCCTCAACAATGTCCTCAGTGAACACTCCGAGCCAGTCTTTATTTTTTTATTTTTTATTTAAGGTTTTCATTGTGGATTGAGTACAAGTTTACAGGGCAGATCATCAGTTTTACATTCAACAAATCGTACACCTTGTTTCATTACAATGATTATAATCCCCTTCATGTACCATCAGTTAACAATATTTCTCTCTATCCACTTTCACTTTTTAACAAACAAACAAACAAACAAAAAACCACTCAGGCATATATAATAATTTACATCTCCAAAGGACACATTTTGCAAGTCTGCCTCCTGGCCACCAGCTCTTAGTCCCTCTCTTCTTAGTCCATGAATCTAGAGTCCTCAGCCGCTCCCCCTCTCCATGCTCCCCGTCTCTGCCTCCATCTCTGGTGCTGCTGCTTCTCTGGATAAGGTCCCGCATTCTGCTTGTGCGCTTCTCTTGATGGTCCTAGGATCCTCTGTTTCTGGACTGTAAGATTAACCACTCCCCTGTTTTTGTTACAAAACTTC